TTTTGTAGCAAGGCTTGCCATCATGGACCCCAGCCTCTTCATGTTTTCCAAAAAAAAAAAAAAATCATGTGCAAAATATTTTGAGTTCGCTAACTCTCCTGAAGGATTAAAGCGTTCAGTAAATTCCTGGCATGCACTGCGCAGCTATTCATTGATTTACTCCAATCCCTACCCTAGTTTCATTCCCTCCCCAAAGCCCATGGCAGCATTAAGCCTCTCTCCACTACACATGGTTCTCTGAAAAATATAAGCCACTTTTTTTGAACAGCAGCTCTGATGTCTTCTCTTACTCGGCTCCACTAGCCTACCTGCCTTTCTTATCCCCCTGGTATTAAGGTGAACATGTTTTCTCCATCTTGTTACAAAGGTAAAGTTGCAAAGACATCCTTGTATTAGTCTCGGATTATATGTGTGCGTGTTCTTTAAGATAGAATCCCAGAAGTCATTCTTGGATCCAGATGAAAAAATGTCAACTTACTTATTCCACAATATTTATTGAGTGCCTACTATTTGCTCTTTATAGACATTAAACTTATAATACAGGTGTTTTAAATCCCTGACTGGTGAAAATTTAAAATCCACAGGCTTTATCTATTCAACTCTTAGGTAATGAGTACTACAGATGTGGTGATATTCTAAAGGCTTAACAAATACTACTTCATTTAATCCTATGAGGGAGCTATTACTAAGCCATTTTACAGATGGAGAAATTATGGCATGGGGATTTTAATTACCATGTCCAAAGTTCTTAGTCCATAAGTGACAATGCCAGAACTGGAAACCCCGGAATTCTGGTTCCACTGTGCATGTGACCCTTGCTGTTGCATCTTAACATAGAAAACCTGTAATCACACTCTCCCTTAAACTTTGGACTTTCCCATAATAAGGCTGGATAGTCTAGGTTATGTTTTAATTAGACCATACTTCTATTCTGGAGAAATATCTAGGCTGGTAATTCAATCATATAATTTTTCAATGATACATACTTCAGATGCTAATTTTCTTTAGTGTCATTTCTTTACCCATTTGATTTTGAATTATAACAATGAAAATAATTCAGCTCTCCATAATGGATTACTGTGTTCTTGAAATTAAAATCTCTAGTGAAGACATGGGCAATCTGCATGTTTCAAACCAGTTGAATGGCCCTTGGCATTCCGGGACTATCACAGAGATGGCAGTTTCACCACCCTTGGGCACAGATACCATGTTGGTGTGCCGTGAGAAGTTATGGAATCAGTAGAGAAGAAAGCATTTGTTTTTGCGGCAGGAGCCCATTCTTCTACCGTGAAGTTGATTTGGAGGAGAGCTGTGGATTTGGGAAACTAGATCAAACAAATCTCTTCATACTATCCAAGAATAGGGCCTCTTACCACTGCAGTACACCACCAGCCCTGATGCATAATAACAGGTACTGGGGGTGCCTTTTCCCATGCAAAATGACTTTAGAATAGCTAATGAAATTCATTAGTCATTTGAGAGAGAGTAAGAGTAAAAAGCACTATAAAAATCCAATCCAATTCAGGGTAATCTTGGCACCTACCTTATCCCTGTTGGTGCATTTCCAAAAGAAACAGGCACATTAAATTCAGGAGGGACAACCCAGCGCTTGTTAAAGCTGTAAATCAATGCTGCTACATTCCCAGTTTCACTCAACATCTCTACACAGAGCGGCAGTAAGAAATTCACTGATCCCTCCATCCTTGTATATGTCTGTCTCTTTGCCCAAAGCACTGAGCATGCAGCTCCCTTGCTCTGGAGAGAACTACTGGTTGTATAGCCTGGATTGTCCCCATCGTAGATGCATAAAGCATCTGTGACAAACTTGGCCAAATCCCAGGCTCTGTGTGCTATGGAATATATCATTCCTATTACTTTTTAAGCTTTATATCCACAAAATTATGATACATTGAATATCTTGAATGTTACACATTGATTAACAAATTACCTGGAAAGATCAAACTTCACCAATCTATTCCCCTAGAGGCCAAAACTTAGTAAATTATATGAAGCAGATCTGCTGGGTTTTGCAGTCCCATATCGAAATAATCTCGGTGCAATATTCTAAACAGGGAAGACCTAATAAATATCATTCATTAATTTGCTGTTATGTCATAGCCTGAAATGAATACATAAAATGTGTCTTCCCAGAGATGTTTACAGGCTCTCAATTTTATTGGGTATATCGAGGAGATCTTAGGATTTAGTTTCTCTATGGTTTTATTAACAACCCATGACTGGGGAGCTCTGATTTGCCTGTTGTACTCATTTAGATGGGATTAATTTTAGGTAGCATTTGGACCCTAGTGAAAGATCTTTGAAAGATTTTCTGGTCTCTAGCTTCTTAATTAATGATCAAGTTTGGGACTAATGGGAGATAAAATTTAAAAGATAGTGAGAACCGGATTGTAGAAGCCCTCTTAAAACCTCCTTATGTCATTTGCCTTCAAACCTATGAATTGCAACACACTAAAGTGACACTCCCATGCTTCTGCTCACCATGGTGTGAGGAAGGGAAAGAAAAGTTAGTAGCTACATCAGGGTCTGTTGCTATGAGTACTGAAGAGCATTGTATACTCAAGCTAAAGAAATTTTAGGTATGTAAACAACCAACCAACTCTACGGTAGAGCTGGTGATATAAATGTGTGATTCTGCAGGGTAAGAGAGAGGTAGTGGATAAAAATGGCTGAGGCCTGTAGCTGAACTGGAGTGAAATCCCACTACTTAAAGACATTCAAAGCAAATTAAAAAATAAAGTAAAAGTTGGTGCCAAACCAAACATCTGGAGCCTGCAGTTGCCTTTTGAACTATCAATTTGTAATCCTTGGAATTAACTTTTGTCTGAAAAATAAGGAATTGAAACTTAAAATACATCTAAGTAGAATAATAAGATCAAAAGGTGGGGATTCTAGAAAGCCTTTTTTTTTTAATTACATAAGTCACGCCATAGTGTCTCTGTATCTTCTACCTCAAAATATTTAATATTTCATAGCTCTTTCACTAAATAGATTATGTTGGTCAACTAAATTTCTTCTTTTGTCCAAATATTGTGTGGAGTCTGTATTTTTATTTGCTAAATCTAGCCACCTGAAGGGGCTTCCAGAGAAAACATTCACCTTACATTGCCCTTGGCTTACCCTTAGCATTGCCCTCAGCATTTGTGAAATGAAGGTTTTTTTTGCTCTTTCTTTTTCATTTTCTTTTTTAATGCAGAAAGTGCATGGAGAGCCTCATATTTTGTTTTGTTTTATTTTTTATATTTGGAAAATCATCAAAACAAATATTGACTGTTACTTCAAGGAGCCCATTAGCAATTATTTAAATGTCAATGAAAGTTTCTAGGGCTTTATGAGCAGAGATCTTCCAAAGAAAGCCTTAGGAATCCAAGCTAAGTCTGTGTGCTCTGCAGAATGAGGAGGAGCGGCGTGGAGGGAGGGGGGACAGGTGTTGAGGGGTTGGAGGGAAAGTGTCTGTTGTCATTGATGTGAAAAAGAAATCTTTTTCTGCACCTAGGAGAACACTTTAGCATCCAGATTTCATGGTGCTCACACATGCTTCTGGGAGCCCAAAACTAACCCGGAGGACCACCGCTTTTCATTTAGGTGCAGAAATCCTTCATCAAAAGGGCTACAGGTCTCAGACTGTGTCCTTGGTTTTCTGTTTTGTTTGTTGTCTTCAGGGGGAGTGTCCATTTTTCTCACCTTATAAGTTCTGTACAGTTTGGGCCAAACACATTAACCATATTTATGAATGGGGTTCATACGGGAGAATGCTTCTTTCTCTAGCGTTTATTTTTTTGTCAGTATGGGAGGCTTCTTGGAGGGGAGTGCATTTCCTCTTGGCTTTAGGATTTTAATGCAGTATTGATATCTGGCTATTTTGTCATACTTGTCCATTTTCCCTACTTTGGGTACATAATAATGTGTTGTTCAGTTCTATTTGAAAATGATCTAGCTTCTCTCAGTAGAGCCAAAGAGGCTCAAAGCCAAGAAATTAATCCTGACACAGGATCCATGCTTCAGTGACAATTAAGACAGCCTGTGATACTTTGATTGCTAGTAAGATGCCAACATTTTAAAACTGACCCACACAGAACGCACAAGGAAGTATCTAATTCAGCAAAAATGGTGGTGATCATCATAGCACTATAAGCAAGTAAGCAGAGGTCTTTCTTCATGTTGCCAAAGATAAAGGTAAAGATAAGGCTGGTCCCAAACTCCTGGCCTCAAATGATCCTTCCACCCTGGCCTCCCAAAGTGCTGAGATTACAGGTGTGAGCCACTGTGTCCAGCTGACAAAGATGAAGATTATATAAATATCTATTCTGTGGATGTGATAGGGCTGGATATTATGAGCCCTGAGGACTCAATATGAACAGCTTGAATTTCTGGGGGAGATGTCAGGTATTTCAGGATCTTCTCAAATTGTTTCAGATCTAGAAATAATAGTTATGTAGCTTTGCCCTAACTTCCTGGAGTCTCTGTGACTGCATTGGAAGGATTGTACAATGTCAAAGCCTCTGTGATAACTAAGAAATGAAGTCCAACCAGGCATGGAGAAGAAGGGAGATGGTACCTGCAGGTGGTTAATATCATGTTTTCTTTTTCTACAGCAGGAAAAGCCTAGGCTTCTCGATCCTTTGGATTATGAAACTGTCATTGAAGAACTTGAAAAGACCTATCGGAATGATCCTCTTCAAGATCTCCTGTTCTTCCCCAGTGACGACTTTTCAGTAAGTCTTCTTGTCTCACGCCACCTAAATTCATGAGGACCACGAACTGGGTCTCTGTCTTTCCCCATAGATTCAGGGAGTTCAGCCCTCTTCCCGTGGCCACCCAGCATCACAGTATCTGCAGTGGGAGTCCACATCCGGCAGTAGAAAGTACCCATGGGCCTCCTCATGTTGGAAGATTGGAGGCTCAATGACGCAGTAGCCACTGGGACAGAGGTGGCACAGGATGCTGCCTGGAGCTCGTGCTCATGTCCCCACTGATGTCCCACTTTCTAACCACCACCTCACCTGGACTCACAGAGCACTTCCTCCCTCAGGTCGTTTCTAAGTAAAAGCTTCCAAGCAACTGAAACCAACCAATGGCAAAGACAGGAATCTATTGGCACAAAAGATGCAATTCTTAAAAATCACCCTTAATCTTGATTTGGCTTTATGAAGGAGATGTTGAAGTTTGGGGCAAAGAAAGGTAGGCAAAGACATCCTCATGGAAGGATTTATAGTCTGAGATATGTCCGCTTTAGGACAATGCATACCACCACATAGATTGTTCCTAAGGGCAGTAGAGAAAATAAATAAAAAGGAAATGCCTTTTGGAGACAAGCACAATAAAGTTATGGATGGTGAGCACCTACATGTCCCAGACATTCGATTCTGCTATTTGTGGTCATCTTAAACATTTTTAAGTCATTAGTAAATGTCTAACTATGCAAACAGAGATCTCAGTGGGCACTTGATAAACTTTGCTGTTTTTGTCTCCTAAAAGAAAGATAGTCTTAGACATCACAAACTTCAGCATCTTAAAGCAGGTGGGAAGGCAGCTCAGGGGTAACCCCACAAAACAGCTAGTGTCTATGAAAACATCTGTCATGGAGTGTGGGCTTCTGTTCCCACACTTTCTTCAAACAGCCTCAAACTTTGGTGTTCTCTCTCACTGTTGGGGAAAATCTGGCTTCTGGCTTCTAAAGGATTAATTTTTTTTTACCTTCCTCCATGGATTCATGAAAAAGAAGAATGTACAAGTTAGTAATTTTCTGTTCCAAGTATGAAAAATAATGGAAGAAAGGAGAGAGATTTGTAAATAGGAAAAAAGAAACTCTTCCAATCTGTTTTTTTTAAAATTTTTAAATGGCTTCTCCTTTAGTGTTGGCACATTTCGAGAGAGGCTTATCTCACACAGAAATCTCATTTCCGTAGTTGGACCAGCCACTAGGGCTTGAACTGCAAGCCTAAAGTTGAATCACTTTTTTTTTTAAATTCCACATCCTCATTTTCATTTTTCAGACTGAAGGTAAACCTGACAAACAGCCCCTTTCTGCCAAACAACACCAAAAATCATGAAACCTGGAGCATCTTTCCTTCTAGCTCTGTCATTCAGAAATATGTCAAATTCTACTCAAAAGCCTCATATCTCAAAAAGAGAGTGGAGGAATGTAGATGAGATGTAATATTTGCACGTAATTCGAATTTATTCTTTGGCATCTTTCTGTGCTCATTTAAGTTGAGGACTGTCTCTGATTACTCTTTGGCCTTGGCCATCCTTGATGGTGTAACGGAGTGTATAATAACATACTCTTTATTTTCCCAGTGTGAACATTCCAAGAAATACACTGAGCTATTTTATTCTGTGCCTGCTTAAAACCCTCTGTGGCTCCCCGTTGCCTTCCAAATGAAGTGCAAACACCTTAGCATGGTGCAAGGCCTTCTCCAAAATTGGTCCTTGCTCATTTCTCAAGGCTGTGGTCTTCCCTTCCCCCACCCCAGCCCCATCATACAGAGTCACCCTCATTCCCAACTGGGGTGAAATACTAGCACAGTTCTAAACATACCATTCTCAAACATACCCCAAACTATTTCCTTCCTTTACTCATTCGACAAATATGTAAATAATACCAAGTGTTGGACATTGTTCTGTCACACAGCAGTGACTAGACACAAATTATCTCTTGGTGAGAGGAGTCAGGGAAAAAAAATAAGTAAACTAATTAATTAGCAAGATAATTCAGATAAAGACCAGCTCTATGAAGAAAAGAAAACAGAACAGCGCGATAGAAACTGACTAAGGGAAGAGAGCTACCCTTGGGCTGGGAGGACAAGGATAACCCCTCCGAGGAGGCAACATTTGAGCTGAGTTCAGAATTCTCAAGGAGGAACAGCCATGCCAGAAACCAAGGAAGGTGTGTTTCAGGCTGAAGGAAGAGTTGGTAGAAAGGCCCTGAAGAGCTCTGAGATTGGAGATTGGTGTGGCTGGTCAAGATAAGGCATTTGTATCTTATTCTCAACGCAAGTGGCAAGGGGAAGTCATTGGAGTTTTTCAAGAAGGGGATCAAATGACCTGGCATGTATTATTAGAAGCTCATCTGGCCGCTGTGTGGAGAACATATGACAGGGCACAGAGGAAGCAGGGAGGCCAGTTGGGAGAGTAGCTTCCAATTAGTTGATGCTCAGGGATATTTGATGCCGCCTAATCCTTATTATCACAAAATGTCATGTCCCACAAATGGTTAAATTTTAATTTGCATTAAGCAACTGACAAACAAAAGGGTAGTACTGAATATTATTTCTACATAAAATTGCCAGTTTTTGAATAATATTCAGATAGATTGCTCTACCTCTTTCCTGTTCTACAGAGTATGGCTTGGCAAACTTCAGCACGTGAGTGCCTGCTGTCTATTTTTGTATGTTCCATGAGCTAAGAATTTTTTTTATGTTTTTAAATAGTTGAAGGAAAAAAATAAATGTATGAAACATATGAAAATTATATGAAGTTCAAATTTTAATATTTATAAATAAAGTTTTATTTGAACACTGACACGCATTCATTTACCTATTGCCAATGGCTGCTTTCATGATACAAAGGCGGAGTTGCAACAAGGTTGCAGGAGTTGCAACAGAGACATGCACCCCTAAGTACTCTTTGACCTTTTATAGAAAAAGCTGGCCAATCCCTGCTATACAGTATAGCTACATTTGTTTTGTTTTTGTGTTTTTTTCTCACCCTCTTTATGGAGCATAAATAACGCTTCTTTAAATGTCCTCTGACTCTTTTTGTTCCATCCACAGCCTACGTCACATTTTAGGGGTATTGCTCACCAACAGCAAACTTCTGTGCACCTGGGAAGTGCATCATTTCCTTAGCTCCTCCTCGAGCAGTGGGTGAGGATCCTCTGGGGTGTATGTGGACAGTCTGGACTCAGCCAGCGGGAAGTGGTAGTAGAATGACCGCTCCAATCCCAAGGCATGGCAGGATGGAAGGAGGGCAGCAGCTCCAAACTCCCCACCTCCCTCCAAATGTCATTAATCCAGTTCCTGCCCTGCAGATTGGAGAATCCATCCCACTTCTATGTTTTCACGTTACCAAGCGCCCACGCTTGCAGCAGACATGATTCATTACTTGGTTTGTTTAATCAATATTTATTCAGCACCCACAAGGTGCTGAATATAGAACAGCACTTCCTAGACCCATGAGACTGACAAGAAAAGCAAAAGCCCTGTGTTTAAGGAGCTAGTGCCCGTATATGGATGAGAAAGCCAGTTGATTAAGAATCCTTATGGTTCAGAAATATCAAGAAACAAGGGGCATCATCTGGTACTTGGTACACTGAAAAGATGATGTATTTGCCGAGGCATTATTGCTGCATTGCGAACATAGACGTTAAGTTTTTCCGTATTCACTCTGCTGGCCTCCATCATACTCTTTTGCCTGGACCCCCAGAAGTGGCCTTTTACCTGCTCTCCCTGTCTTCTCCTACACCCTGCTCTGATTCATTGACATACAGTATCCAAAGGAAGCGTTTAGAAAGACAAATCGGGTAATGCCACACCCCTGGTTATAACTTCTTGGCAGCTTCCTGTTGCCTGGAGAGTCAGAGCCAGCTCCTCCCCATCTCTGTCATCTGGCTCCTGGCAATCCCTGAGCCCCTCATCTGCTAGCCCTGTTTCCTTTGGTCACTGCACAGACACCCAGCGTTCCTTCTGTTCCTTAAATTGCCATGCTTATCCCCTCGATAGGGCCTTTCTGCTCTCTGTACAACTGGTTCTTGTTTTCCCTTCACGACTCAGTTCAAATGTCAGCTCTTCAAAGAAGCATCTCAACTTCCAACCTGCATTGCCCCACACCCACCCTGAGCTACTTTATCCCATCACCCTGCCTGCTTCTCTCCATAGCTCTTGTCACCACTGGGAAAGGTCTCAGTTTGCTTTCTCACTCCTCTGTCACTTGTTTCTTGCCTCCAGCAGGACAGGGATGTCCTCTGTCTTGATCATTGTGAGAGTCCCAGCAACGAAAGCAGCACTTGACACAAAGCAGATGGAAAATAAATATTTATTTCATGAATTGTCTTTTGGAAACATGTAGGTTATTATATTAGGATATAACTCTGATCCTTTGAGCATCTTGAGGAACCACAAGGCCATTCTCAAATGAAATTCTCGAGAATAAAGAGAATGAAGTAATTGGCTTTGCTTGATGAGGAGGAAAATGGTTGTTAGTATGATACTTTCCTCTTTGACACAGCTCAACATATCACTTGATAAATAGCGCTAAGAACATGATTCCTTTTTATAGAGGCTCCTTCCTTCTAATACAGTGCCTGGTACATAGCTGATGTCAACAAAGGTTATCTTCCTCCATCTAACACTTTATTTATTCACCAATTTATTCACTTGCTTTCTGTTACTAGGCAATGGAGGAATCAGTTCATATCTGTATTTCAAGTACCCAACACGATGTCTGGTTCATGGGCACTCAATAGAAATTGTTGAACCCTGAGTTAAAATAGTCTTCTTCCAAGTTAAGGAACTGAAGCTGAAGCATTTGCCTGTATCTTAGTACACCAGGTAGAGACTGCGCCTCCTGGCGCGTGGGTTCTGGGACTAAACAGTACGAACTTCCGCACTACTGTGTCATGGTGATTTGCTGGGAATAAGCAGCAGAGATGCTTTTAGTAACCCATTCATTGTAAAAACATATACTATTAAGGCTTCAAAAATAGTATTTGCTA